CTCACCACTAGTGATATTTGTCAAAGTTCCACACAGATGACTGTCTTTTTCCAAACAGAAGCAATTGCAGAGCAACTCAGTGGACAGTTATAAATTAGAGAGGGGAAGGGGAAGTGACTTATTGCCCATCCTTAATTCTGTGAGAGATGCACATTCCTAGGCACTAAAATCGTCAGAAGCATATTTTTGTTGCATGGCATTTGGAGATGTTGGGAAGAAGGTTAATTCTCCAGCTCTGCAAATTACTTGATATACACTTATGGAATTTTGGATACTACAATCTGTCAAGTGCAAGAATGCAAGGACAAAAAGTGCAAACAAAATCAGAAATTGCTGAAGAGCTCAGCACTTCTGGCTACATCTGTGGAGAGAAAGCATAGTTAACGTTTCAGGTCCAGTGACTCTTCTTCAGTTCTGGAGCGCTGAAGAAGGGTCACTGGACTTGATACGTTAACTCTGCTTTCTCTCCACAGATGCTGCCTGATCTGTTGAGATTCTCCAGCAATTTCTAATTTTGTGTCAGATTTCCAGCATCCACAATTCATAAGGAGTAATAAAGTTTTCATGGCTGAATGATTTTCCCACTAGACTGTCATTTGCTATGGTGAAGCATTACACATTACCAATCACAGTCCTTCATCAGCTGAACTTATCATTGCAGTTTTGCAAGTGAAATGGTGACAAGCCACTGTCTCACTAATAAACCAGTTCAATTAATGAAGCAATGCAAGAGGTAGTACTGTGAATGCTGGAAATCTGAAAGAAAAACAGATGATTTTTTGCTAGTTGCCGCTGACTTCTGAGATAAACTAGAATTTTTCCCTGGATTTTTCTCAGACCAGTTTGTTCTGAAAACAGCATTCACCCGAAGAGCTCATCTTTCATTTCTCTCCCATTTCATGCTTCTTCATATAATAATAAAATGGAAATACAGATTTCCTCATTTGACTTCCTGCAAAACTCAACAGAAACAATGTCTTCTGCCAAAGCTAGTCTGAGAGAGTAATCACACTGCATCTACAGCACAGAAACAGATCATTTGGCCCAAATAGTGAATGTCTTAATTTATATTCTACAATGGCTTGCGTCCAATCCCACCAACTGCACTTCATTCATATGGGGATCATTTCTGCAACAATTCAGAAGTCTTGGAATAGCAAAAGTCACATCCAATCTGCTAATATAATTCACACAAAGTCCCATACTTCCAACATACAGTAATAGCACTGCAATTAAAGTACCCTATCAATTTCCATCTGATATTAATACCCAAGGGCTATATCTTTTTATTTTGCGGAGCAATGTGAGGGATAGGTGAGAAGCAGAGACGGGATGGCAGGATTGAAAAGCATATCAGCTGTGAGGGGTACAGACTGATGCTTTTGTTGAAACAAATTCTTCATCACCAATGATCCTCACCTTCTTGTCCACCTCTTTCATTATTGAGCCAACAGCCTCTGTCAAAATAAAGAAAAACAGCAACTCAAAGACCTTTTCAACCCTCCCAAAAGTAAGGGAAGGATTTTCGCCAAGGCTTCAGAACCCCACTGTCAGGCTCAAGTGGGAATCAATGCCTGCACTGTTTGGGGAACAGTCACTAATCAGTAGTTTTCCCCAAATTGGCCAGTGGCGACAGAGTTAGCTCTTGATGTTGGAGGGTCAATAAGAGGCTCTCAGCTCCGAAGCAGCTTTGTAGGCAAGTGAGGGAATGACATTATCCTCTCTCCAACTTCCTTGAAATTGAAAATTTAAAGAGAATATTCATTTTAGCAAATAGGTTGACATCAGAACGGCAGGGATGGGTAATTTCACCAGAAGGTAAGCTGTAGCTATAGGTGAAGCCAAAAAGCAAACAGAAAGAGCTGAAAAGTTATCTGGAGTGTCCTGCTATCAGAAGGTAAATCTGGGCAGCTACAGTGCTCCTCTCTATTTCCTGGGACCTAGAGGCTGATGAGAAAATACCAGCCTCCTACAATTGGGCCTGAACTACTTGAATCAGGCACTCTTGCAAGTCAATCGGTAACACTATGGGCACAATGGCCCTAGGTGAAGAACCTGCAGATATTTATGCATTTGTCTACAGCCTAATCTGAGGTATGGAAAGCGTAAGTTGCTCAAATATTTTACCTGGTTGCTACACACAGGAAATCAAGTTTGACGATTTCTGATGTACTGCCAAATTGCCAATAAAACAGCACCATAAATAAAAGTAGTAAATACTGAAAACACTCAGCAAGTCAGGTGGTATCTGTCGACAGAAACTGAGTTAATGATTCAAATCCTAAATGTTTTTCACTCCATAGCTGCTGCCTCACTTGATGAGTATTTCCAGCATTTTCTGTTTTCATTTCAGATTTACAGCCATTTGCAGGCTATTTTTTCCACCACATCTGCTCTTTGCTACTTGATCCTAAACTATTCCCACTATCCACTCCTATTCATCTCCAGCCTTGTATTAATGCAGAACCAGCCCCATTGTCTAGTGCTCTCCCAATAACATCAATCAATCCAAAACTAAACTTTGCCTCCTCTCCATCACCCTGTATCCTTCCCTGGACAAATACTAATTTTCCCTTAAAAGTCACAATGGACCCTCCCTCGATCACACCATGGGGAAAGCCCACTTTCAACGGTGCCATGTATAGACTTCTGTAAACCTGGCCCTCCTTGCTATCTAAATTACTGAACCCTTGTCACTGATGACACAACCTGAAAGAATAGGCTTTTGTTTAACATTCGGCTGAAATCCTTCCCTACAGAAAACCTTCTTACTTTTCTCTGCTCCTGTGGAAACAGTTCCACTACCTCAAGGGCCTTGTTATGGTTCATACATTTTTAATCAATCAATCAATCAATCTGTTCAGAAGTTTTATCATACACCTCTAGAGCAGGTGGGGCTTGACACTGGACCTGCTGGCTCAAAGGAAGGGACACTACTACTTTGCCACAAGTGACCTTCTATTCATGGTTCATTTTTATACAGAGGGTGGTTCACGTGTGGAACAAACTTACTGAGGAAGTGGTGGATGTGGGTACAATTACAATGTTTAAAAGGCATTTGGATAGATACATGAATAAGAAAGGTTTGGAGGGATATGGGCCAAGGGAGGCAATGGCCTAGTGGTATTATCACTGGGCTGTTAATCCAGAGACCCAGGTAATGTTCTGGGGAGAGATAGTAGGAACTGCAGATGCTGGAGAATCTGAGATAACAAGGTGTAGAGCTGGATGAACACAGCAGGCCAAGCAGCATCAGAGGAGCAGGAAGGCTGACGTTTCGGGCCTAGACCCTTCTTCAGAAATGGGGGAGGGAAAGGGGGTTCTGAAATAAATAGGGAGAGAGGGGGAGGCTGATAGAAGATGGATAGAGGAGAAGATAGGTGGAGAGGAGACACACAGGTCAAAGAGGCGGGGATGGAATTGGGCTGAAAATATGGGCTGGACTCCACATCTGGGTCCCACTTACCATTCGTCTTCATCAATCTCTCACTTCATGTACCTATTCAAACTCTTACTGTCAATCTTTATGTTCCCTGAAAGCTTACTTTCATACTGTATTTTCCCCTTCTTAATCAATCCCTTGGTCCTTCTTTGCTGAAGTCTAAATTGCCCCCAGTTCTCAGACATATTATTTTTCTTGGCCAATCTGTATGCTTCTTCCTTGGATCACATACCATCTCTAATTTCCTTTGTAAGCCATGGATTGGCCCTCTTACCCATTTTGCTTTTGTGCCAGACAGGAATAAACCTTTCCTATCCATGCACCTGTCCAATTATCTTTTTAATGTAACTGTACCTGCACCCACCAAGTTCTCTGATAGTTCATTCCACCTATGAACCACCCTCTGCATGAAAAAGCTGCCCCTCAGGTCCCTTTTAAATCTGAGATAACAAGGTGTAGAGCTGGATGAACACAGCAGGCCAAGCAGCATCAGAGGAGCAGGAAGGCTGACGTTTTGGGCGTAGATTTCTGAAGAAGGGTCTAGGCCCAAAACGTCAGCCTTCCTGCTCCTCTGATGCTCCTTGGCCTGCTGGGTTCATCCAGCTCTACGCTTTGTTATCTCTAATGTTCTGGGGACCCTGGTTCGAATCCCGCCACGGAAGATCGTGGAATTTGAATTCAATGAATATCTGGAATTAACAATCTTACAATGACCATGAATCCATTGTCAATTGTCGGAAAAACCCATCTAGTTCACTAATGTCCTTTAGGGAAGGAAACTGCCATCCTTACCGGGTCTGGCTTACGTGTGACTCCAGACCCACACCAATGTGGGTGACTCTTAACTGCCCCCTGGGCAATTAGGGATGGGCAATAAATGCTGCCTAGCCAGCAAGGCCCTCATCCATGAATGAATAAAGAAAAAAAAAAAGTGGGACTAGTTGAGTTTAGGATTATGTTCGGCATGGACAGGTTTGACCAAAGGGTCTGTTTCCGCGCTGTATGACTCTGTGACTCAATGACAAACCACAACATCACTATTTCCAAGATCTGCCCACCTCACGCACTACTTTGGTGGGACCCAAGTATTTTGCCCTTCGGTTTTAATGTACTTTCTATAATAGGAGGCAAAAACTGCACATCATTTATAATTGCGGTCTAATCAATGCTTAAAGAAGTTTATTATTATTTATCCATTCTTGTGCAGTGTACCTAAAGTGCTATCCATTTCCTAGCTTTATAAACATACCTTTGCTTTCCATAATTTTGTATTTGAAACCAAGGTCTTTTTGTTCACTCACAGCCTTTGGTGTCTTTTTATTACTGTTCCTCTCACACAAAGGAACTACACACCCCAGACATTAAACTGCTGATGATGCATGACCTGCTGAGTATTTCCAGAAACTCCTGCTTTTGTTTCTGACATTAATAAAACCTGTGTCCAGGAATATTGAGTCCAAGATATCATCTGGACCCTCCATTGGGTTAACAAGTCAAAGACAGGAAGGCATTATTCTTTCCCTATCCAATTGTCCCCTCTGCCACATTGCATACTTACCCATGAGACTACTCTTCCATTGAAACACGGTAACTTGGCATTGTCATCTGAAATTTCTTCCTTCACAACCCTGCAATAAAAATAATGACAGCATTAACCAGGACACTTAATATTTATAAAGCAGGCCAGAGTCCCAAGAATGATAGTTAAAAATTAGCCCTCTGTTCCACCAACATTATAGTGTACAATTCCAACACCTTAATTCAATTAATTACAACTTCCTGATGGTTGGAGACTGATGCTAACAAATGAAATGATATATTGCCTCTAACAATACTAATTAGCTCCAGGTCATTTATCAAAAACCAGCAGTCTGTACTAAACTGTGCACGTCACACAGCCTGGGCACAAGAGCCTCCCCACAGAACTCAATCCACAGGTGTCCTCTGTCACCCAAGTTACAATGTGGAGCTCATTGCCTTGCCCACTGACTTCTCCTGTGGACTCAGTACAGTAAAGTACAGGCAAGGATACAAATGTATTCCAGCTTGGGAACTTGAATATCCAAGTGAGGCTCAGTATCACTGATACTGATTGAGCTGTCTGAATCCAAAGAATGTAACTGCTAGACTGAGTCTGCAGCTGGTGGGGAGGGAACCAAGGAAAATATCTACTTGACCTTGTCTCTCAATCTAAGTGCTGCGGGCGCTTCCATCCACAACAGAATTGGTAGCAGTGACTACCACACAGTCCTTGTGAAGATGAAGACCTGACTACACGTGAGGACAAGCTCCATCATCTTCTTTGGGACTAGCACCATGGTAAATGGGACAGACTTCAAACAGCTCTAGCAACTCAAAATTGGGTATCCATGAGGCACTGTGGGCTATCAGCAGCAACAGACTTCTATTCAACTATGATCTGTAATCTCATGACCTGGCATATCCATCATTCTACCATTACCATCAAGCTAGGAGATAAACCCTGTTTAATGAGAAGTGCAGGAGGGCATGACAGGAGCAACACCAGGTATACCTAAAAAAATGAGGTGACAACCTGGTGAAAGAACAAAACAAGACTACTTACATGCAAAACTGTAGAAGACAGGGCTAAGCAATTTCACAATAAACAGATCAGATCTAAACTCCACAGACCCGCCACATCCAGTTATAAATGGTGGTGGACAATTGGGCAATTAAACAACTAAAGGCTCCACAAATATCCACATGCCCACCAATGGAGGAGACCAGCACATCAATACAAAAACACAAGTTTGAAGTATTTGCATTAATCATCAGTCACAAATGCCAAATGAACATTCCAGGTCAGCCTCCCCCTGGAGGTTCCCAACATCCCGATGCCAGTTCTAAACAATATGATTCACTCTATGTGTTATCAAGGAGTAGCTGAAGACATTTGATACTGCAAAGCTATGGACCCTGACAACATTCCAGCAACAGTATTGAAGCCTTGTACTCCAGAACTAGCCAAACCCCTATTCAGGTATTTCCTGTGCAGAAAAAGCAGGAAAATTCTAAGCCTTATCAGTCACTTTTGATCACCAGGATGGTGGTAGAAGAGATCATCAACATTGCTAACAAGCAGCACTTTCAAAGGAATAACATGTTCATTCATCCTTGAATTGGATTCCATGAGGGCCACTTGGCTGCTGACCTCATTAAAGCTTTGGTCCAAACATAAACATAAAAGCTGAACCCCCAAGATGAAGTTTGAATAATTGCCTTTGACATCGAGGCAGTATTTGCTCGAGTATGACATCAAGAAGCTCTTGGGAATCATAGGGAAATCTCCCTGTCGGTTGGAGTCATACTGAGAACAAAGGAAGATAGTTTTGGTTGTTGGAAGTCAATCATCTCAGTCCCAGAACATCACTGCAGGAATTCCTTGGGATAGTGTCCTTGGCCCAATCATCTTCAGCAGTTTCATCAATGGCTTTCCCTCCATCATGATGTCAGAGTGGGGATGTTTGCTGAAGATTGCACAATGTTCAGCACTATTCGTGGCTGAGGCAGTCCACATCTACATGCAGGCTTGGGCTAAGTGGTAAGTAACATTACACAATACAAGTGCCAGGCAATGATCAGCTCCAACAAAAAGGTAATCTCACCATCACTCCTTGATATTCAATGGTATTACCACCACTGAAACCCCCACTTTTGACACTGAGGGTTACCACTGACCAGAAACTGAACAGAACCAACCATATGAAAATTGTGGCTACAAGAACAGTCAGAGGCAAGTAACACACTTCTTATCTTTCCAATATCTGTCCACCATCTACAAGTCAGAAATATGACTTGCCTAGATGACTGCAACTCCAAATCATCCAGGACAAAGCAGCCTGCTTGATTGGCACACCATCTACCACATTTAATATTCACTTCCTTCATCAGTGACACGTACTGGCAGCAGTGTACACCATCTACAAGATGCACTGCAGTAACTCACCAAGACTTCTCCAACAGCTCCTTTCAAATCCACTACCTGTACTACCTGGAAGGACTAGGGCAGCAGATGCATAGGAACACCACCATCTACAAGTTCCCCTCCAAACCACACTGTTGCTTGGTCAAAATTCTGAAACTCCTTTCCTAAAAGCATTGTGGGAGGTCCTTCATACCCAAAGCAATACTTAAAAATCTGTTCTGCATCCTCTCCAAAAGCAGTCACATCAGTCATAAAACATGGTACACAACTGGACACAATACATCAGTTGAGGCCAAACCAGTGATTTGTAAAGATTCCCAATAACTTCAGCTTCTGAGGAATTGCAAATGGTATTGAACACTGTAATCATCAGCGAACATCCCCAGTTCTGACCTTATGATAGAAGATCATCGATGAAACAGCTGAAGATCAATGCATCTCAGACTCTGCTTTGAGGAATTCTTGCAACAGTGGCCTGAGGCTGAGATAATTAGCCTCCAACAACCAAAACCATTTTCCTTTGTGCACTCCAATGGGTTAATTATTGATGCCAACTGAATTTGGTCAGGGGTCCTTGATGTCATACTTGGTGTCTAGATGACAGAGACTACTACTAACAACTTCTGATATTCCAGTGAATGATAGTACAGATCTATTCGCTGTCACTCACTGTTGCACGCTTCATTGTAAAAAGAGGAAGTCGTGCATTGAGCTCAATTAAAAGAAACAGTGCTGAAATCTCTGAACTTATTGGGCTAGCACAGCAAGTGGAGACAAATATACCACACTGGCTTCAGGAAAGAACCCAGAATTTTAGGATAGAATGCCAATTATCAACTGAGAACTTTCACAATTTTCAACCTTTTTTCCTCTGGAAAGCGTACTCAGTCCTCCTCCCAAAGCCCCACCCTTCTCCACACATCCCCATAAATACTGCCACAACCCCACCCTCCAGCAGTTTAGTGGACAGTTAAACTTACTAGTTGTAGTAGATCTATTCACATTACAAACATCACATTAATTCTTTTTCTCTCTAAAGTCCAGGAGATTGGCCCAAGGCCAAGGCTGGACAAACTCTGGCATTCTTCCCTCAGTCCATAACACTGAAAATTTAAACAATTTGCATGTGGGTGCATCACGGTGTGCTTTTGTAACCAGAATACAACAGTCTTTTGTTTTCTTCCTGAAGTTAAAGGCAATATTAACCACAGAGTTGCTTATTTAAACCCACAGGGGATTCCTAATTCCAGCTCATCTAAATACTTAGCATACTTAAGAACTGTAGTTGTTCATTGTTACTCTCAAGGATGCATGGTGACTGGGGCTTGGTGCTTAAAAGCAGTGCTTCAGGATGGATCTGGCCAACACACTGGTCACGAAGCATCACTTCCCCACTTTGTATTTCAGCCCTTTAGAGATAAAGGCCAACATTCCATAAGCCACTTTGATAACTTTTTTGGGGTTTGTTTGCTTTATCTGGATATCTTCCATTGAAACACAGAACAGCTGCATTAACAGCGAAACAATACGAATAATGCAATGGCTCAGTGGTTAAAGGCAGTGGGCCATAGTGTTCACAAAGTCCTAGATTTGATTTGTACTATATAATGAGTTTATAGATCTCGGGGACACAGTAGAAGAGACGATACTAACAACCGAAGTATTGTTGGATTTGGGAATAACAAAACATGGGGCACCACAGCTGGGTGTAGCTTTGGCAGGGGAGTAACTATCCCACTGTTTTCCTACCCACCCGTGATCCAGTCCCCATAATACAGTAGGCGAGTGTGCACTGAAATTGGCAGCCAATCCATTAGTAGCAACACGGTTACTAAATAGACTGAATGATAGGAACCAGAAAGCAATGGTCAGTGGATATTTTTTTGGGTTGGAGGAAAGTTTGCAGTGGAGTTTCCCAAGGTCAGTATTGGGACCCTTGCTTTTCTTGATACATATGAATGATCTAGATCTTGGTGTGGCGGGGGCAATTTCAAAGTTTGCAGATGATACTAAACTTGGACGAATTGTAAACTATGAGGAAAACAGTGCAGAACTCCAAAAGGACGCAGACAAGTCGGTGGAGTGGGCAAATGACCTGACTAAAAGGAGTAATTAGGGAGAAACTGTTCCTGCTCGCAAAAGGAAGAAGAGAGAGAGCATAGATATGAAGCAATCTGCAAAAGCAGCAAGGGTCAAGTGAGGAAAACTTTGGAGTCAGGTTCAATTGAGGAATTCAAGAGGGAATTGAATGATTATTTGGATAAAAATGATGTACAAGGGAATGGGTGAAAAGTCAGAGATTGGCACTAAGTATTGATGTGCATTTAATGAGTGGATGCAGGCATGATGGATCAAATGGCCTCCTTCTCCAGTGTAACACTTCTGCAATTCTGTAATTTGCAAGGCAAATTATTAATAGGCAATGGGGCTTGTCTACAAGCAACTGATCCAAATATTATGCTCTCACATCATCACATAGTTGGCATGGGTAGACAGGCAGAGAGGAGTTCCTGCTGCTCAATACCCTGCCCACACTTCAGAAAATCTGACCACAGTACTGTGCTCCTCCTTCCAGCTTAGAAGCGGAAACTGAAATGGGAGAATCCTTCATGAAAAGAAGTACAGTGCTGGACCAAGGCACCGGAAGACTGTTTCTGGGGCTGCTTGGACTCGGTGGACTGG